CTTGGCATACAGATATGAGATGAAGTGCTTATAAAAAAATGGATTCACTTATCCATCAATGTAATACTTGATCAAGAGGTGTAAATATGTATAGTCTAAAATGTTTAGTTCATATGCAGTGAGAGATTTTATGACTTCAAAGTGCTTCTGCGTCCTTGCACCAAATAAAGAATTATGACTCAATGTCACACCATTAATGGTACTGAGGTTACTCTGGGGCCAGGAGGAATTTTGTCAGGATAAGCAGCAAGAAAAGAGAAACTGATCCTACAATTGTAGTCAAAGGGACTTACTTTGCATCCTGGGGGGTTCTAATGGGAGATGTCTTTTCCAGTCTATTTTAATAGTTTTGATTATTTCAGACAGATTTAATTAATGAACAAATTCTACAGCATCTTTAAAAACATATTTTCTGATGGGAATAGATGCAGAGACCCATAGCCAAAATATTAGGTGGAGCTTAGGGAATCCTGCAGAAGAGGGGGGGAACATTGTAGGATCCAGAGGGTTCAAGGACACCACAAGAAAACACAGAATCAACAAACCTGGGATCATTGGTTTCACAGAGATTGCATGGACACCCAGGGAGCCTGCATGGGACTGACCTAGGCACTCTGTATACATGTTACAGTTGTATGGCTTGGCCATCTTGTGGGACTCCTAACGGTGGGAGCAGGGGATTGTCTATGACTCTTTTTCTAGCTTTTGGGATCCTATTCCTCATACTGGGTTGCCTTGGCCATCCTTAATTCAAGAAGAGGTGCCTAATCTTACTGCAACTTGATATGCCGTGTTTTCTTGATATCCATGTGAGGCCTGCCCTTTTCTGAAGAGAAATGAAGGAGGAGTGGATGGGAGGGTGGAGGGGAAATTGATGAAGGGACTTGGAGGAGAGGAGGGAAGGGAATCTGCAGTTGAGATGTAAATAATAATTTTTTTTTAAGAAAGGGACTTGGTTTCTTCTAGAAATCAAGGCTCAAAGCACATTCTGGTATAGGGGACAGAAAGATTGCAAGAGTCAGAGGAACAGGAAGAATGCTAAGAGACTGTACTCTCTGGTGGCTACAGGAAACTACACCCATGACATGTCAACAACATGGCTCTCTAAACAAGACATGAACAGTTCAAAAACCAGTTGACATTTCAGTTGTGGATTGGGAAAATCTCATGAAGACCCATGTCTAGATGAAGAGCTATAGATAATGACCAGCTATGGAGGGGGATTAATTCCTTCCCCCAGGATGAACCCCCTGTGTGGTGATCCAAGGAATAGTCAGACCTGGAAACAGACAGATTCATCAAGTAGTATTTGTATGTTAATCAATTTACATGTCTATGTAACAATGAATGGTAAAAGAATTTCAGAGAGAGAAAGGTCTGACTGGGGAAGGATAAGAGAAAGAGAGAAGAGAGGGATAGTGAAGTGATGAAATTATATTTTAATTGAATTAAGAAAAATGAATGCAGTGGTGGCACGCACCTTTAATACCAGCACTCAGAAGGCAGAGACAGGCAGATCTCTGTGAGTTCGAGGCCAGCCTGGCCTACAGAGCAAGATCCAGGACAGGCACCAAAACTACACAAAGAAACACTGTCTTGAAAACAAAACAAAAAGAGAGAGAGAAAGAAATGCAAAAAAGGTTCATTATGTGAATTTTTGTATTTTAATATGTATGAAAAATATATCCACAAATCACCTTTTTAATCATCCATAGGAGCATAATATCCAAATTAGTTTTTTAATATTAACAAGTGGATGATAAGAACATGACTCATACTAGTGTTGAAATTTTTGTACTTAATACCCAATGAGTGATGTGTTTATATAGTTTTGTTGTTTTTAACAAACACTTAAATAGTACCTATTTTTATTGTATGATAAAGTCTATTGAAATTTGTTGTATTTGCTCATGTATTATTATTAAAAATAAGTTATTTTTTCTGACTTTAGACAAAAAAAGAAAAGCAGAGATAAATGTGTACCACATCACATTAATATTACTAAAGCTAGCAATCATACCTGGGATTATGGAATATGGTATATAATGACATGGTATAGAGTCTCTACCAGCTGGTTGATTGGAAGACTATGTGGAAGGGGTCTACTCAGCTTTGTCTGTGTATCAATTGTGGTTTCTGAGGTTATGAATTGAGAGCTAACACAAGAGCAGTAACTGAACTGTCTGAAGCAAAGTTCTAGAACTGCATTCTCAAGATAGAGAGAATACCAGAAGATGCTTATGAGTTAAAGAAATATGAATATACCAAGACTGATGGGTTATAAAGTAGTGGATGGGTGATCTTGGCTAGAAACAGACAAAGAAGGGCTCACTGATATAACACGATGCTGGGAAGCTGATGGGAAATACAGTTTTCTCCAGGTAGCATGTTAATGACGACAGCAAGGACACACAGCATGAAAGACTCCTCACAAACAGTAAGGGAGTGAGAGCAAGTATTGTATAGTCTCTGGTAGCATGGTTGGAATCTATCCCAAAGGCACAGTAGAGAAAGCTGAGTTGAGATATTATCCATTAGGTATACAAATAGACTAAAGGGCTGTTTTGTTTTGTTTTGCTTTTAAGTTTAACTTATTTTTAATAGAAAGTGACATAACTTTTGTTTATTGAATGAGAGACCACGTGTCTGTGTAAAAGAAGGTAGAGGGAAAAGTAGGTGAGAAGAGTTTAAGAGTTGATGTTTTGAGAAAAATCAGGATGCTAACCTGTCAAGGCAGTTACAGGATGGTTCCATAAAAAGACAGCATTCAATGAAAAGGTGTTTCTTTATATCAGTAAAACCTGAAAAAGGACTTGCACAAGTTCCAATTTAGACACTAAGTAATACTGATAGTAATAAAGATATTGATAATGATGGCTAGGACTAGGTATTGCAGTTTCTTGGCATTGTCTACAATTCCCCTATAAAAGGTTACTGTAACATACTTTTCCCCTGTTCATATGTCTTGAAATCCCAAAAATCATCTCAGTGATAAGTACATACTATTGAAATTCTAAAACATTATTTCTTTATCTAAATAGTGTATTTTTTTGAAAGTACAGATAGAAGGGTGATTGGTCCCTCTGCCCTGACAGTTCACTGTGTGTTTGGTGCTTGTGCTGTATCCCCCAGTTAGCCAAGATAGCTCGTTCAATATAGTAATTTGGATGTATGTGGTATTCACTATTTACAAGAAATATTAAGTTACATATACATTTCTCTGTATGAATATATATGTGTGTTTATTTATATTAAATATGTGTATTTTACATATTGGAAATGTCTACAGATTATAACATGACTTAGTGAAGAATTTTGTTATAATTTGTAATATCTTGTCTTTTTTTCTTTATTCTAAACTAAGAATAGTAGTATTGAACAAGGTATTTGGAAGAGATAGTTTTAAAGTTCTTATAAAATAATACACACACACACACACACACACACACACACACATATATATATATATATATATTTATGAAGGTATAACAGTAAAAACTGTCCTGCTTTCCTTAGTACCTAAATCTATGCACAATTCTCAAAAACCAAGAAAAGGAATAAATATTTTGGTTTGGCTATAATGATTTGCTATGCCCCAAACCTATGAGGAATTAGGCCCGGAGACCAAAAGGTCCTCTCCTACTCTTGGACAGTGCAACTATTTCTGATCATTTTTGCTTTCTTGGTTTCTTTAATATTATTTTCTAATTAAAGGATTCCTAATGGTCAGAGGCCATTGTTGATTTGTAAATTGAAGTTACATATCACTTAACAGCCTCTAAACATTTTAGCTTCTCTATTGATATTTTAATCATGAAAGTCAAGCTTCCACAGTGAGCAGCTGAGCTTGTATAAATGGTACCTGATGTTTTCTTTGGTATGTAAATCAATGAAGATATTATGGTGCCTTTCAGTTCAATGATCAATGTACTGGAAACCAGCATAGTTTTAAATTGTATGTGATATATGCATCATTTACAATAACAACTCTATGGTTGCCTACATTTTAAAGTTCATTCACATTTTTATATTTTATGTACATACACTCATTAAACAGGAAGCATAATTTCATGCATAAAGTTGCAAATATTAGTGGAATTCAAAGAGAGTTCTCATACATGTTCCATTTGATGATAAAATCAAGTTAAATATAATTATTTTAGTCATCTCAAATGTTTGTCACTTCTATACCTTAAAAATTTAATAAAACTTTTGTCTAGTCTTTTGAAATCTGAAGCACATTGTTTTATTATGATTATCTTGCTCTGCAATAGTGCACCAGAACTTATTTTCTCCATGTAACTGGAAGTCAGGAAGCACTGATCAAACTTCACCCCCTCTCTCTACATCCCCAAGCCTCTTGTAAATTCCCTTAAATTTTCAGCTTCTAAGAAGTCTATTAGTTTAGATCACACATGTATGTGAAGTCATTTGGTATTTGTCTTTCTTCAAATGTCTTATTCCTTATTAATACAAGGAACTCTGAGACTTTGTGTTCCTTCAAACACAAGGATTCCAGTATTTTACATAGCTTCTTGGTATCACACTGTGTTTATGTACTATATTACATTCTTCCAATTATTAGTGAATGGCTACTTAGTTCCAATTCTTGGCTCACGGCAGTAGGGCTTTCTTGCCTCCACAGTGTGGATGCCTCTTCAATATTTTCTTTTATATTTGTACCCACTCACATAGACTTACTAGATCATAATACTCCTTTTTATTTACATTTAAAAAATAAATCTTGTATCGTTAAAATGAAATAATGTTAACATTATTGCCGGTGGCTTGCAAGGGTTCTCCTTATTTTGCCAACTTTGTTCAGTCTTTATGATAACATCCTTGGTGAGTTGAGGGTAAGCATTGTCTCTTGGACTTGAAACTACCCAGTTATTCTGCTTAAGTAATTGTTGGGTGCAAAGCATACTCAAAGCATGCATAGAAAAGTCAAATACGACTTTCACCCTTGTAAAGGAAAGTGACACTGTGTTATTTTGCAGGTGCCTACGTGCTCCAGGTCAAGGCCACCGATGCAGATGACCCCACCTATGGGAACAGTGCCAGAGTTGTCTACAGCATTCTTCAGGGTCAACCTTATTTCTCCATTGATCCCAAGACAGGTAAAGCTTTAATTTGGTACAAACTTATCACTCAAGTAATTCAACTTTAAAGAAGTCTTGGAATCAAACATCATCTCTTCCAATATAGCAGTAAAGAATCAGTGAGCTATCATTTGACAAAACAGAAACCATCTTTCATGACTGAGGGAGATGTTTTCTTTTGCTGAGTAAATAAATTAATATTTTCTGAGATTTGTGTAAATATAAATGTTTGCACCTGTATTTAAAAGGTCCGACATTGTTAGCTAGGAGTCTTTTTTTAAAAATTTTAAATATAAACTTTTACTCATCAGTCTAAAAACACATTTTCATTTATTGGTTCATGTCAGATTTCTAGATTGTATTCAGTTTTATTGTTCAGCCATGACTCAGAAGCATCTGTAATTTCTTTTGTTATCTGTGTAAGTATTATAGAGGGTTGGTTTTGAGAAACATGCAACATATGCTTGCTGTGAGGGAAGTTCATCCCTTGGAATCTTGTTGTACCAAGGACATTGTTTATATTAGAATTGTTCTTTATAAGCAGACACATTTTTTATGGGTTTTTGTTTGTTTGTTTGGTGGGTTGGATTTGTTTTGTTTTCTTTTGAACAAATCTATAAATAAATTTTAGATTTCAAAACCAGCTCTAATGTAGGTAGCATAATAAGGGTTTGAATGTATACACATGGCCAATTTTATGTTTCCTTTCTTTATTCATTCCTTCTCTCTTCTTTTTCATTTTGTGGTGAGAGAAATCAGTCCTGGGGGGCCTATATTAAGTAAGTCAGCATCCACAATTGAGCCAGGGCTCCAGGTTTTGGTGCTATTTGAATGAAATGAAGTTTTCTGTTCAGACTAAATGTTGAGTTTCTTTAAGGAGACAGCCACTCTGACCACCACAAGTCACAGCTAAAGAGGAACTTCAGAATAGCATTTATTAAATAAATTCTTAATTGTAACTTAGTATAAAAATCCTCCCATATACTTCTCCTCATTCTTTTCCAAATTTATTGCTTCCTTTTCTACTAAAATGTTTTTATATGAATATGTAAACATATAAATGCATATGTAGATCTCATCCATTTCTCTGTCATTGGGCAACCCCTGTGTCTTTCTTAGGGTCCTCTTTACTAGGTAGCCTCACTGGAGTTGTGAGTAGCATTCTAGTCATCCTTTGCTTTACATCTAGTATCCACCTATGAGTGAGTACATACCATGTTTGTCTTTATGAGTCTGGGTTACCTCACTCAGAATGATTTTTTTCTTGTTTCATCCATTTGCCTGCTAACCTCAGGACATGAGTGGGGGTAATGAAGGGCAAGGGTAAGGGGAAAGAGAGCTTAGGGGAGTGGGAGATCCCAGCTGGATCAAGAGCAGAGAGGGAGAACAAGGAAAAAGAGATCATGATAAATGAAGACCCTATGGGAATAGGAAGAAACAAAGTGCTAGAGAGGTCCCCAGAAATACACAAAGATGACTCCACAATAGACTACTGGCAAAGGTCGAGAGAAAGCCCGAATTGACCTACTCTACTGATCGGATGGCCAAACACCCTAACTATCGTGACAGAACTCTCATCCAATGACTGATGGAAGCAGATCAGAGATCCACAGCCAGGCCCCAGGTGGAGCTCCAGGAGTCCAATTGGTGAGAGAGGGGAGGGATTATATGAGCAAGAGATATTGAGACCATGATTGGAAAAAGGACAGGGACACATAGCCAAACTACTGGAAACACATGAACTGTGAACCAATGGCTGAGGAGCCCCCATTGAACTGGAGCAGGCCCTCTGGATAAGTGAGACAGTCAATTAGCTTGAACTATTTAGGAGGCCCCGAGGCAGTTTGACTGGAACCTGTTCTTGATGCATGCATGACCTGGCTTTTTGGAACCTAGGGCCTATGCTGGGACACTTTGCTCAGCCTAGGTGAAGGGAGGAGGGGACTGGACCTGCCTCAACTGAATCTGCCAGGCTGTGTTGAATCCCCAGGGGAGTCCTTGCCTTGAAGGAGGTGGGAAT